AGATTCTGTCTTAAAGGAGACAGGATTATACCTCAGTGGCAGAATGTTTGCTTAGCATACATGATGACCTAGGTACAATATCTAGTCCTGGAGGCAAAATGTTTAGTATTAGAACCTATGGATTGTTTGAGCAATGATGCCTCTGGGGGGACTGTTCACATTCAGTGGGTACTAGAAGATCCCTCCTTGTACAATGAATGCCAGAGCATTCTCATTCTGGGCATAGTCATTCAGAACTTCTCTCTGTAGCAACTGTTCTTATTCATTTCTTCTGAAAGGTTAAAGAAAACCAAACCAAGCCAACAAAGTTGACGGCATTTTAAATGCAAATACAGTAACAAAACATCACACAATCTATAATTTTAAGTCATTTATTTCAATAGAAATATTTCAGAAAACTGTTCTTAAATTCATCTTAAGTTAGCTTATGCAAACGCACTGAAGATCACACACTCACTTCTGCATATTAAAAGGAAACAAAACCAGAGAGGAACCAAGTTGCACATCACTCAAGGAGGTCATAGTGCAAGTGAACACTTCATCATTAAGTACCTCAAGTTAACTGAAACAAAGGATGAAAATGGCTTGTGAATTTTTCTTTCTTTTTTTAATATTAGCTTTGGATATTTATCCCTACAGATGTTTGAGCTCTTCCTTCCAGGTCCTTCAGTGAGTTGTCAAAGAATGGACATCTACAATCAAGCTGCAGATTGGGTCTCCCATCAGCTATCATAGTCACAGCCAATAACTGAATACTTCCTGGAACTGTACTGTGAGTTTTACCAGGTGACATCTTCAGGGACATGACATTCATTACTTGATATAAAAATTTGAAATATCCTGCTGATATTTGGCATTTTCTGCTCTCCTTCCCACAAGCACTCCATGAATTCCTTTAACTCTATTTTGTAGACCAATTGGCTGGAATCAGATTTTAAATTTTGCTAAAAAACCACCAAGGACCTGCTAACCCTTTCACTGGCTCCAAAGACCATGTGTGTCTGTGTCTACCACTCTCTAAGGATTCTGAAAACAGCATTTCTCCTCAGACAACAGTATCTCCTGGCCTTCCAACATCCTAAGCAAAATGTTTCCAAATTTTGTTTTGGCTGAGAAACCTAGCTTAGGTTTCTCTTGCCTGATTTATTAATAGCACTGTCTCTTTCTTGTGTATTTTCAAGTAAGCAATAACTAGCAGGGTAAGGGACTGCTTGTTCATTCTGTCTTAAATAGGAAACTGAAATACATTTCATTTCTGGCTGAAGGGATTGCCACCAAGTATTTTAGTAAAACCGAAACAACTCCTGCATGCATCTTACTGTTAGGGATTTCCCCAACAGCCCTTGTCACTAAACCTAAGTTCAAAACAACATTCAAACATACTCAGACGGAGTTCTTCAGAGACAGCACTCAGAGTGCCATCAAAAGGCTCATGTGAGCGCATTTATGATTAACCTACCCAGACAAGACAGCAGCAGGGAGGGGGGCTTATCTGCAAAAGAATTACGATTGGAGGACTGCGGTGTCCAGATGTCTGCGCAGTCATCTTCAGGCTGCTGTGGTGAAACTGTGGGGGAAGAGAGGGATGGCACACCCCTTAAGCCAGAGGATTAAGAGGGCAGATGATTATAGCCGTCTTCAATGCCCTAAAACTGGTTTCCAAATTGATAAGGCACGGATCCAATGTTCTCCACACTATGGCTGGCAAGAGGGTAATGCAATTGCCTTCACTGAGCTGCAAAGCGGGAGTCTATGCATCTCTTCAGTAGAGCTCTCAAACTCAAGTCACTTTAGACACAAGCCATTTTTAGGGAAGCAAAGCCAAAAGGTACTTAAATCATTTTGAAAAGGTTCACATGTAATTTATCATCAAAGCTACTTAACAGCAATGTTTTTGTGTCTAAAAGGCTTAGAAAAAAAGCAACACCTGCCTGGCTGTAAAAGAAGGATGGTAATAAGAAATAATACAAAAGACGAGAAAATGACCCTTAAGAGGAGGCTAAAGTCAGACACGCCCACCACGGGCTCCCTTTTCTCGCAACACTCCTGCTGGGGCTCCGGCACAATCAAGCTCAGTTTCATTTTCAAAAGAATACAATTCTTTTAAAAGTCTTGGGGGCAGAGGATTTTTAAATTAAAGCTTATCTTCCATTAAGCCACCCTGGTACCTCTTGTTTGCAGAAGGTAACAGGATGGCTCAAAACCCAGTTAGAAAGGAAAGTGCCTCCATAAACAGGAAGGATACCAACAGAAGGTATGTTCTCTTAAGAAGCCAATGAATGAAGTCTATTAGTACTCATTTCCAGTCAATACAGTGCCTCACAGTTTTAAGTGTATGTAATTAACAGATCTAACCTCGGGAAAAGCCTTTCTGCTAAAGGCTTTGGATAATCCCCAGAGGCTGACAAAGCTGCACTCACAGGGACCCATCTTAGCTACTGAGGGGTCTAAGCGTGACTCCATTCCTCCCAACCACACTGCTTGTTGGGCTTCTTTATAACCCTCACGGAGGAAACAAAGCCCATCATCAACTCTGCAGCTGTGGTCACCCTGACTATTGACACTGAGGCCCAAGAGCAGCAGACTATGAAGAAGGTGGTTCTGCTCATACAGAAAAAGTGACCACCACGGAAACATGCTGAGGAGAGAGATACTCCCAAACTGGGTCCTCCTTTGAATTGTTTACGCAAATACACACTGAACAAAACCAAAAAGAAAGATGTATTTCATCAATTCTCTTTTGACCCTTACAGCATAGACACTATAGCGAAGATATTTTGAAAATAAGCAGGTGGAGTGCAAACAGTGCCTGGGCATTGTGCAGTCGTTTCTCAGGTACACTCTAACATGGACGTAAGAAAAATAAGTCATCAGATGACACACGGCTAGCACTACACGCCACTGCACCAAGTCTAGAACACCCCGTTCCGTCTGCTCATACACCAGCTGAAGCATATGCTTTAACTGAATTTCTAAAGAGCTCTCCCTGGCTAGGAGAGAAACGAGTGAGCTTTAAATGTTCATGAAAATGAGCCTGTGAGTCACTTTACAACTGAGTGTAATAGGATTGTGCAATAGGATTCATTCTCCAACAAATAAAGTACTCAAACATTTAATATAGTTTGGCAATGTTTTCTTTGCTTCAATTATAATCTGCTACCATTTTGTGAATTATAGATCAAAAAACTCAAGCTATTCTATGTCACTCATCTCTCAGTTTCTAAAATCATCCTAAGAAACAACGGCTGATGTTTAAAGCAAATTTTAAGGTACAAAAATAGCTTCAGTCAGCCAGAGGCCACAGTGCTAACACAGACTGGCTAATCAAATCTGAACGTGGTTCTCCGCCTACACACCCATAGGTGTCGAGAGCTGGTGCAGCAAACACGTCTTCCACCTCTGTGCTTTCTCTTTGGCAAAACTGAGGCCGGCCTCTGCTAGCTGCTCTTCTCCACAGATGCGATTCACCTACAACGTCATGGCTTAGCTTACTCTGATAAAGTAGCAATAAGCCACAGGGTTCTCATTCACAGTATCTCAGAAACCGCAGTACATTATTTAAAACATTTCAGAAGCAAGATAAACTAAGATATTGCTAAAAAATATGCAAAACAAAGTAAGATGTGCAAAGTCTACATTATAATACTGCTGGCTACTCAGTAATGTTTGTCTGTGTATACCCAACATGGGTTAAGCTTAGACCATTATATGAAAAATCATTCCATACAGGTGGCGTGTGCCTTCCCCTGCTTGTCAATGAAACACCAAATAATCTATTTCTGTCACATGACGAACACATTTGAATTATTTAAATTAGAACCACTCAGAAAAGGCTCTTCACTTTCTCTTGAACTGATCTCCTTTTTAGCTAATTATTTAGCTAAATAATTGTACACACAGTATTTTCTAATTAAGCTCAGTGGACTTGATGATAAAATATTTCTGATAAAAAGTACACAATTCTTTAAGTATACAAATGTGAGAAGTTTTATGTGTGACTCAAAGAAAGAACAATTTGCTTTGGAGGTGTAAGTCAAGGCCTCTGCATGTAGAGCCACCACTAAGAGCTCAGCCCTCAGCAGTCTATTCACGGGCCGTTCTTGGTTAAAGTTAGAGGCTCTCTCAAGTCCAACATTTATCTTAAAAATTAGATGCGTTATCGCCTAGGAAAGCACTCTCAAAACTGCCTGGCCAGTTATAACAAAACATAGCTTCAGGTTGGGGACCGACAGTAAGCTTTCTAAAAATGCTCTGGTACATCTTGGGAAGTCATACAGAGAAATGTTTTATATTTTTAACTTCTAGAGCTGCAAACTTTGCCTTTATTCTTCTTAAAACTGTTTTGTCTCACAATAAAATACATACATACATATGAAGAATCTTTTAAACAAGTATGCTCTTGAACCTCACATACTGAACAAAAACAAATTCAATAAAAAGTCTGGCATAATGCACCTTAAACACTGCAAAGGGTGAGACCCTGGTACATACAAGGTCTTCACCACAATGACCAACACCTGTGACTTGAGAAAAATCTACAGAAACCTCAGCTTGGGATTATCATTTTCTATGCAGACTTGTGGCCCAACAGTGAATTCAACAGAAGGTAAAGCAGAGAGAAACAAGGTGTTTTCTGGAGCTTGCTGTGTGGGAACGCTTGGCCTCTGCACCTCCTTCAGGAGGTCACCTTCTTCTAGCACTCAAATCCGAAGTGTAGAGTTTAAACACACCCCTCACCCCAAATAAAGCACACCCTATCCCAAACACCCCCCAACAGCTTGCACTGCCATCATCCAACTCCCACGTCTTGCTGTGGGGAAATGAGGAAGCCAGGAGCAGAGGCTGAACAGACCCTGTGGTGGGCTGTTGGCCTGCTCCTCCTAGGTCCTTCTCACTGCACCTAAAACAGCTCTGGATGGAATCCATTAGAAAGGGTTTTCCTTTTTAAAGTGTATTTAAAAAAAGATGGTTTCCCCTCCAAAATTAGTACAAAGTTAAAAGAAACGCAAAGTAGCTACAATTTATTCCAAGCCCAGCACCACCGGAAGATTCACACACACTGTTTGGTGTTGGTTTTCCTCTCACTCTGTTAAGGCAGTGGTTTCCACAGGTCAGTTCGGAGATAGAAGCGTAGTTCATGGCAGTTTGTTTTGCAACTCCAATTTGTTCTCTGGGAATATCTCACTTCATTCCCTGAAATTAGTGCTTTTGGTTCTGAGCTCCAGAGGCTGGGCTGGAGCCTGGGGGCTCTTCCTGGCACGGTATGGTGCGGCTGGTGCTCGCAGCAGGTCCTTGCTCCATGCAGGAACAACGGTACACCTCCTCTTTCTCCAGCTTCTACTCAAAAGTCATCAAGTTTGTAGGAACCTAAAAACACAAGCAGCCCACACTGACTGTTGCCATTCTAGACTGCTCAGAAGCTGGTTTATTAGTCACTGACTACATCTGTCACCATGTCCTAAAGTGATTTTTCCCTTCACCAGTACCCTCTGGAATGAGGGCTCCGTAACTCAAAATTTAACATATAAATTGTGTTATTATATAGAAAATGTAGGATTTCTTGTTAAATAAGCTGTTTTCAACAATTTATATAAGATCTAATAAACAAAATTTAGCAGGTATTCTGTCCAAACCCAAATCACTCTGACCTATGTGTATCTTTCTTAACACAAGGTCTCAAGTTTGTAGCCCAGGCCTGGAGTGGTATTTCATTTGTATTCTAATAAATAAAACTTGCCTGAAGACCAGAGAGTAAAACAGCTGCCCAAGTCAGCCTCACAGACCAGGCAGCGAGGCACACTTTTAATCCCAGCACTAGAGAGGAATGTAAGACGGGAGGAGACAGCTCTCAGAGAGTCTCATTCTGAGGATTCCTGGAGGCATGATTGCTACTTTGGTCTGAGGTAGGCGTATAGCCAGTGGCTGGCTGTTTTGCTTTTCTAACCTTCAAGTTGAACCCCAATATCTGTCTCTGGGTTTTTACTAATTGTGCTACACAGACAGGCCAGTCTTGAACTTTTTAGTATTAGGAATGCAAGCCCGATTCCCCTCTGTATGCTGTGAATATGTTTTATTACCATTGGTTAATAAAGGAACTTCTTGGGCCTATGGCAGAACAGAATAGAGTAAGGTGGGAATTCGAGCAGAGGTAGAGGAGAAAAGAAGGCAGAGTCAGAGAGACACCATGCAGCCGCCAAAGGAGAAAGATGCCTGCCTGCCAGAACCTTACTGGTAAAACATGAGCCTTGTGGTAAAATACAAAAATAATAAGAACAGGTTAAGATGTAAGAATTACTTAATAAGAAGCCTAAGCTATTGGCCAAGCAGTGTTGAAATTAATACAGTTTCTGTGTGATTATTTTGGGTCCGGGAGGCCGGGAAACGAACGAGCTGCCTCCATCTACACGCCATCACACCGTTTAAATTTCTTTTAAAAGGAATTTGATAGGAAATGCTTCAGGGATTTATAACAGTGAGTCCAGCAGGCCAAATCATTTTAGGAAATCATTGAGTTGAGTTAATATGTTCTTTCAAGTAGGCATGCCTGAATAGGAGGAAGAATACAGATGTTTTCGTGCCGTTCAGGGGCCTAATGGCTGTTTACTCAAACAAACAGATGCCACACATTACCATCAATTTCTCTACGTACATTTAAGAAAGCTACACTGAGAGCTCTATAGGAAATATGAAGGAGTTCTCTATAAAAATACCAGAAATATGAAGAGTCAAATTTACCTTCAGTCAAATTTATCTTGTGTGAATTAAAAAGTTTTTACCGTGGTCTAGGGGATGAAACTCAGGCAGGGCCTTGCGTGTGCTAGTTAAATGGGGTATGCCACAGGCCTGCAAAACCCAACTGTGCTCTCTACCCGAAGGCTACAGGGAGTCACAGACAGCATAGCTTCCCAGCTGCTCTCACAGGCCACAGACTCTCTCTGTACCTGCTCCCTCTGGAGCTGGAGTTACACAGGTAGCTGGCAACTAGATGTGGGTGATGGGACTTAAGCCACACAGACGCAGCAAGCACCCTCAACCACTGCACAATCTCTCCAGCCTCAGCCAATTCTGAGACAATATCATAACTGAGTTATAACTCAAGGGCTCATGTGCTTAAGATCCCAGGTTTGGTGATATGGAATCTTTATTTTAAAAAAGTGAGCTTCATTTTCTAAATCACCCAAATGTGTCTTAAGGTCTTTTGCATTTGAGTCAGGGTCATTGAATAATTTTCAAACTTCATAGGGTCTATTATAAATTTGCTAACTCTCTGTTTAATATAAAACAAGCAGAAAACAAAACCATTTTTGCACATCTGTGTGATATTAGGAAGTTTTTCTGTTTTTTCTGTAGCTTTGGAACCTGTTCTGGAACTAGCTTTTGTAGACCAAGCTGGCCTCAAACTCACAGAGATCTGCCTGCCTCTACCTCCCGAGTGCTGGGATTAAAGGCGTGCGCCACCATCGCCCGGCAGGAAGGTTTACGAATACAGTAAAAGATGTGCGCCTTTCTTTATGCTAGTTGCTATGCATACTCCTGGATTAATCTTGAAACCTGAGACGTTTGTTTTTGTTTTTTTGAGACAGGGTTTCTCTGTGGGTAGCCCTGGCTGTCCTAGAACTCACTTTGTAGACCAGGCTGTCCTGGAACTCAGAGGTCTACCTGCCTCTGCTTCCCAGGGCTGGGATTAATGTGTGCAGCAGTGCTGGCTGGCTGTAATCTGGGATTCTTTACAAGTAAGAATACCTCTGACCATATGTAAAGAAAATGCATAGCACGGAAGAGAACTCTGAAAGCCTTCTTTATTTATCTTAGGTAAAATAAAGACTGTTTCTTTCATTCTGCCCCAGACACTAACTTAATATGGGCAAAAACCTTTGTATTTTAAGTCCTTCAAGGAGTTGCTAAAGGCTGTACCAATTATTTTTCCCTTCCACACATCACTGAAATAATTATGATAGAAGAAAGCCCACCTGACAACACTTACAAAGGAAAGGCAAATGGCAACTGGGTTCAAGGCCCAGCACCTGCACATGTTGAATGTGTAAAGTCACTGGTGTATTAGAGCCAGTTTTCTTATTTATGAAGAGTTGCAATAGCCTGATGTAACATAAAAGAGTAAAAACCAAAACAATTTAAGCCCTCAGAATTTATAGTGCACAACAATGTCTGCTGATAGGCAGTGATGGCACAAACGTAAATGGTAAGGTCTAAATTTGTGATTCGCGACTGTGGCTGTGTTTCCTGTCTGCTAAGCTGTGGTTCAGGGCATCTCTGCAAGAGAGCCCAGAGAACACAGCACAACAGACAGCCACCCTGTATGGAGACAGGCTTTCCACTGGGTCACCATGGCTTCACTGCAACCATGGGAACTCACTTCAAGTTGTTACCAAAGATAAATCAGAGCTCTGTCCAAGTACCACCTGGATTTTACCCTTCTGATCTGTCATTTTCCCAAACATTGGCAATGTCCTAAATATTTTAAAAACTTCGAGCTTTATCTGCACGCTGGCTGTTGCCTGAATTGGCCCTCCACTCTCCATCTTCCCACCACTCAGGTGAGCATCATTGTCTCTGGGAAAGCTCGGTTACATATGGTGCCTTTCCCTACCAGTCTCTCTTCCTTTCACTCTGTATTGTATAGTTTCTTTACTTATTATCTTTCTAAAATATGAACTTCACACCTCACTGATTTCTATTAACAACAAAAATTATGTACTACTGAGAAAATTATCCAACTAGGTATGGTAGTGCATACATAAACCCCAGAACACTAGTGCTGAGGCAGGAGAACCACAAGTTTGAGGTCAGCCTGAGCTAACTAGTGAGTTCCAGGCCAGCCTTGGCTATTTATTATATTATGAATGTCTTTCTCTAACATACGTAAATAAAAATGCAGAAGTTACAGAGTCTGAGGAGGAGGGAGGACTACTCACCTGCTGTTTGTTGCTCTGGCAGGCCGCACTCAAGTGTTTAAACCACAGCATCGCATTCATCCTGCTGCCGGCTTGAAACTTGTATGAATTTCCTAAAATTACCAAAAGCAAGTAGAAAACAATAAATCTAAAGACAATACAACCTAACATTCCAGCCAGACAAGACGACTGAGTGAAACAGACCCTAGTGCTCAGCTTCAGAATTCTCTTCATCTGCAGCCTCATTTCCCAATGTACAGTGCTTTATGCCATATGCTCACAGGATCTGATGTTTAGAAAATCACCTTTCTACTGTACGCACAGTGAAGGGATTGTGGTTCCCCAATTGTTCATTAAAGAAGCTGTGTGGTTTCTCTAGATAGTCTGCAAATGCTATCACCCCACCCTTACTGTGCGCTCACTCTAGGAGGTACTGCCTATATTACATATAGTGAGCCTTTGTTCAAAGTCAGAGTATAGACTCCATGAGTTGGATTACTTGGGCTTTTAATCTAAGCTTAGAACAGAAAAATGGAATAAAAGTACTACCAAAAGACGCAATTCCTCCAACCTCCGTGTTGGTGATACAGCAGAACCAGGATCAGTGTAGGGATAAGTCCCGCCCCTTAGGGGGTGTGTTCGCCTCGGGCTAATGTTTGCCTATAAATTTGGCACTTATTTCTGCTTTCTTGGTCTCTGCTGGAACGGTGGTTCTGTAAGTCTATTTCTCCATTAAAGCTATATATATATTTTTACAATCTGTCTGCATTCGTTTATGCCATTACAGATCAGGGCTCAGGAGTGAGTGTCTGCAGCACCTCTGATCCCCATCTGGCGAGCAGCTCACCTTTCTCGGAGTCAGTCAGCAGGAAGAGGTCTGGGTGCTCTGGATCGTCAGCCATCATCACCATCCACCCCACCACAGACACATTCTTATTTGACGTTGACTTGAACTAGGATGTAAGATAATCAGAGAAAACAAACGGTGACAACCAGTGACTTCTATGGCCAGTTCTCACTGAAAGGAAAGTGTCAGTCTGTCCTTAGGAGAGGTGATACTGACCCAGGTCAGCTGGGCATGCCCTCTTTACACAGGCATGCCCTCTTTACACAGGCATGCCCTCTTTACACAGGCATGCCAAGTGCCACGCTCATCACAGCCACCGTACCACCGTACATTTCTGAAAAGCGTGCTTGTCAATCTGCTGCTTCTGCTGGGCACAGTGTTTCCACCTAGAGAACTGGTTCTCAACCTTTCTTTTCTTTCTTTTTTGATTTTTCGAGACAGGGTTTCTCCGTAGCTTTTGGTTCCTGTCCTGGAACTAGCTCTTGTAAACCAGGCTGACCTCGAACTCACAGAGATCCGCCTGCCTTCGCCTCCCGAGTGCTGGGATTAAAGGCGTGCGCCACTGCTGCCCGGCTGGTTCTCCACCTTTCTAAGGCTGTGACCCTTCAATACAGTTCCTCACATGCGGTGACCCCAAACATACAATTACTTTGTTGCTACTTCATAACTAAGTTTGCTATTGCTATGAGTTGCAATGTAAGCACCTGTGTTTTCCCATGGTCTCCTGACCCACAGGCTGAGAACTGTTGACTTAGGAGCCACGGCTGCATCCTAACACGTGTGCTTCCTCAGCCTGATGATTTCACATGCGAGCGAGGCTATCCAACAATTCTTACTTGTATTTGCAAAACTAAGAAAAATTACAACAATTAAAAAAAGGGAGGTATTTTTAGCATGTTGGTTACTTTCATAGGTAACCACTCTTTTTCTGTGGGGGAAAGGGCAGAAAGTAAGGTTAGTCTCACTAACAGGAATAAGGAGTGCTAAAAATACTACAACTCAAATCTAGCAGTGCGTAAAAAAAGTTGCCAGAAGTCACAGCACAGAGTACAAGTCACTTCCACCATGTGATTGCCAGTGTGGCTTGGTTAAATGCAGAACTTTATTAACCAAATAACTAAAATAAGAATAAGCAACAGAATCTCAGCCATTTTGTGAAGAAAAAACACGGGAAGGGTGAAACTCACTAAGTAACCAATGGCAGACAAAATAAAGCTGTTCTCCACACTGGCCACCGGGAGCCCCATTATTTCTGGTGACAGGAAACTTAATTTCCCTTTTCTGGAAAAGCTTAATATTTACACTCCTCAAGACATAACCCAGAGAATCTGTGCACAAGAACATCCACCACAGAAATAGGGAAGAAACAACCTATCAAATACTCACCAAGAGAATTATGACTAAATTATGATAAACTCATAAAATAGAAGACTGTTTGGCTTTGAAAAGCAGCAAGTGGCAACCACAGACATCAACAATGACTTCAACAGTACAAAGCAGAGAAACTCGGGTCTCACAAACAAACACACAAGCAACTAGGTGTGGTGGCACACACCTTTAATCCCAGCAGAGGTAGGGGAGGAAGACCTCTGAGTTCAAGGCCAGCCTGGTTTACAGAGAGAGCTACAGTCCAGAGAGGACACACAGTGAGAAAAAGGAACAGAGAACGTAAACACAAGTACAGTTAAAAAGTTAAACTGCCGTTTCTGTAAGGACACATGTATGGTAAAACTCTGAAGGGAAACAAGGCCGCGACAAAAATGACACGTAAGATGATGCCCGCCGGAGAGTGGCTCCCTCACAGCAGCGACAGCTCTGGTGATGTGCTGTCTTACGCTAGAGGAGGCATAAACGTGCTCGTTTACTACAGGTCTTTCACAGTTAAAGTAACGGAGGGAATGACTCCAGCACAACAGTGATGTGAGAGGCACAACAATACAGAGGAAACAGGTTAGGATGGCACACCCGACAGTGCATGACTCACTTCAGAACAGGCAGGGCAACTTTCTAAGATGCTCCTCCTAACCTCTGCTGCATTAGCAAGCGACGTACGGCCCAGAGCAAAGGCGGATGAGATATAGATACAGACACCCCACAAGGGCAGAGTCACGTTTGGGAAGTTATGCCCCTTTGCTGACCTCTTCCATGCATAGAACTTGTGCTGTTACTGACAGTTTCACACTAACTGGGTATATTTATGCTGTGATTGTGGTTTTAAACGACTAAGAACTATTTCCTTACTGATAATTATTTTGTGTATTTTAAGAGTTCTGTTATTATAACCATTACAGGAATATCCTTCTACCGATATCTTTGTGTACTTATTCAAAGGTAACTGGAGGATACAAGGGTCATACCTAAATATACTAAAAGCTATATACAGCAAGCCGACAGCTAACATCAAATTAAACGGAGAGAAACTCAAAGCCATCCCGCTAAACTCAGGAACACGACAAGGCTGTCCACTTTCGCCATACCTCTTCAATATAGTGCTTGAAGTTCTAGCAATAGCAATAAGACAACATAATGGGATCAAGGGGATTCGAATTGGAAAGGAAGAAGTTAAACTTTCGTTATTTGCAGATGATATGATAGTGTACATAAGCGACCCCCAAAACTCCACCAAAGAACTTATACAGCTGATAAACAGCTTTAGTAATGTGGCAGGATACAAGATCAACTCCAAAAAATCAGTCGCCCTCTTATACACAAAGGATATGGAAGCAGAGAGGGAAATCAGAGAAGCTTCACCTTTCACGATAGCCACAAACAGCATAAAATATCTTGGGGTAAATCTAACCAAGGAAGTGAAAGATCTATTTGACAAGAACTATAAGGCATTGAAGATCAGAAAATGGAAGGACCTCCCTTGCTCTTGGATTGGGAGGATCAACACAGTAAAAATGGCAATTCTACCAAAGGCAATTTATAGATTCAATGCAATCCCCATCAAGATCCCATCAAAATTCTTCACAGATCTGGAGAGGACAATAATCAACTTTATATGGAAAAACAAAAAACCCAGGCTAGCCAAAACAATCCTATACAATAAAGGATCTTCTGGAGGCATTACCATCCCTGACTTCAAACTCTATTACAGAGCTACAGTAATGAAAACAGTGTGGTACTGGCATAAAAACAGAGAAGTTGACCAATGGAATCGTATAGAAGACCCGGATTTTAACCCACAAACCTATGAACACCTCATTTTCGATAAAGGAGCTAAAAGTATACAATGGAAGAAAGAAAGCATCGTCAACAAATGGTGCTGGCACAACTGGATGTCAACCTGTAGAAGAATGAAAATAGATCCATATCTATCACCATGCACAAAACTCAAGTCCAAATGGATTAAAGACCTCAATATCAGCCCGAACACACTGAACCTGATAGAAGAGAAAGTGGGAAGTACCCTACAACAGATGGGCACAGGAGATCGCTTCCTATGTATATCCCCAGCAGCACAGACATTAAGGGCAACATTGAATAAATGGGACCTACTAAAACTGAGAAGCTTCTGTAAAGCAAAGGACACTGTCACTAAGACAAAAAGGCAACCTACTGACTGGGAGAAGATCTTCACCAACCCCGCAACAGACAAAGGTCTGATCTCCAAAATATATAGAGAACTCAAGAAACTAGACTTTAAAATGCTAATTAACCCAATTAAAAAATGGGGCACTGAGAATTCTCAACAGAAGAATTTCAAATGGCCAAAAGACACTTAAGGTCATGCTCAACCTCCTTAGCAATCAGGGAAATGCAAATCAAAACAACTTTGAGATATCATCTTACACCTGTCAGAATGGCTAAAGTCAAAAACACCAAGGATAGCCTTTGCTGGAGAGGCTGTGGAGGAAGGGGTACCCTCATCCATTGCTGGTGGGAATGCAATCTTGTGCAACCACTGTGGAAATCAGTGTTTCGGTTTCTCAGGAAATTCGGGATCAACCTACCCCTGGACCCAGCAATACCACTCTTGGGAATATACCCAAGAGATGCCCTATCATATGAAAAAAGCATTTGTTCAACTATGTTCATAGCAGTATTATTTGTAATAGCCAGAACCTGGAAACAACCTAGATGCCCTTCAATGGAAGAATGGATGAAGAAAGTATGGAATATATACACATTAGAGTACTACGCTGCGGTAAAAAACAATGACTTCTCGAATTTTGCATGCAAATGGATGGAAATAGAAAACACTATCCTGAGTGAGGTATCCCAGACCCAAAAAGATGAACATGGGATGTACTCACTCATAATTGGTTTCTAGCCATAAATAAGGGTCACGGAGACTACAATTGGTGAACCTAAAGAAGCTAAATAAGAAGGTGAACCCAAGGAAAAACATATAGTTATCCTCTTGGCTATGGGAAGTAGACAAAATTGCCGGGGAGAAAATTGGGATCTTGGGGGTGGGGTGGGATGGGGGTAAGGGGAGATGGGGAGAGAAAAGTGAGAAGGGAAGGAGGGGGAGGGAAATTGGGGAAACAGGAGGATTGGGATAAAGGAAGGTTGGACAGGGGAGCACGGAAGCACAATTCTTAGTTAAGCAATCCACCTTAGGGTTGGCAAGAGACTTGACCCTAGAGTGGCTCCCAGGAGCCCATGGTGATGTCCCCAGTTAGTCCCTCGGGCAGCTGAGGATAGGGAACCTGAAATGACCCTATCCTATAGCAATACTGACGAATATCTTGCATATCACCATAGAACCTTCATCTGGTGATGGATGGAAATAGAGACAGAGACCCACACTGGAGCACTGGACTGAGCTCCCAAGGTCCCAATGAGGAGCGGAAGGAGGGAGAAGATGAGCAAGGAAGTCAGGACCACGAGGGGAGCACCCACCCACTGAGACAGTGGGGCTGATCTATTGGGAGCTCACCAAGGCCAGCTGGACTGTGACTGAAAAAGCATGGGATAAAACCGGACTCTCTGAGCATGGCGAACAATGAGGGCTGATGAGAAGCCAAGGAGAATGGCACGGGGTTTTGATCCTACTTCATGTTCTGGCTTTGTGGGAGCCTAGCCAGTTTGGATGTTCACCTTCCTAGACGTGGACGGAGGGGGGCGGACCTTGGACTTTCCTCAGAGCAGGGAACCCTGACTGCTCTTTGGACTGGAGAGGGAGGGGGAGAGGAGTTTGGGGGAGGGAGAGAAGGGTGGGAGGAGGGGGAGGGAAATGGGAGGCTGGGAGGAGGCGGATACTTTTTTTTTCCTTTTCTCAATAAAAAAAAAAAAAAGTAACCGGAGAAGTTTTTCTTAGATGAGAAATTACAGTATATTAAAGGAATACTGACAGCCCCCCCCAAGGCAAGCACACACACTTGCACATACATACACACTTTCTGACCACATGTAATCTTATATCACAGCTAATGCAATATCATCCATCTTTACATTTCTGTCTAATGAATAATCATTTAATAAAGCCGGTTAGTTAGTACATTTTACCTTCCATTAATTTCCCTGTTCTATTTTTCTGTTTTATTCTTTATAAATAACACAGTTTTCTCCCAAGTGCAGGTTTGGTTTTTAAAATTTTAACTAATAATACACATTGTTCAATCATTACTATGTAGTGATAGATTTAAACATAGCTGTAGTTTTTTTTGCAATAAATATACTTTAACTAAAACTTTACATAATCAGTATGCTTTCATTTTTAAACATTCAAAAAACAGAGACATAACAAAATAATACCTCTTCTTTCTTCCCAAGTTTATTCTTCATGGACCAACAAATAATAACTCCAATTCAGGTATATGTATGGCATATGGTTGCCAAGTATTTTTCTTCTCTCCTCCCTCATTTTTGAGATTAGGTCTCACACTGTAGCCCAAGCTGGCCTTTGACTCATTGTAATCTTTGTGGACATCTCTAAACACATGCAAACAAGGGCAACACTAATTGGGTTCAGTAGGCTGCATATCTTTGTGTATACACACACACACACACACACACACACACAAACAAGAAATAATGTCATGAATTCAAGAGGAGAGACACAAGAGGAGTCGAGAGCAGAAATTATTTATACACAGTGTACTCACGTATGAAAATTTGCAAATAAAAATTAAACATAACATGAACCAAACTGCCAAGTAATAAATGAACTATTGAGAGGACTAGACAGTTATCAAAGCATAAAACACAAATGGCCAGTAAATATTTTGAAATGTGTTTAATATCCTTAGCCACCAGGGAAATGCAAATTAAAACTACATTGAGATTCTACTTCACTTAGTCTAGATCAAGATAACAAATGCAGGTAAGAATGTGGGGAAGGAGGAAGCCTTGATTACTGTGGGTGGGAGTGCAGCCATAATGGAAATAAGACCAGAGGTTTTATGACCCATAAGCCCAGGTTTTATGTTATTTCATTTCTGGGCATGCACCTATATACATTCTATCACACCAGATACTTGCACTTCCATGTATATTGCTGCTCTATCTACAATACTAAGCAAATAAAACCAACCTACATGTCTATCAGCAGGTGAATGGATAGTAAAAATATGCTATATAGACAACAGAATGTATCCAGTCACAAAGAAAAAGTGAAAACTGCATGAAATGGACGGATCCAAAAAAAATGTGTGAGATAACCCACATTTGTGTGCAGATCCTACAGATCCTAGCTTTATGTTTATATATGTGTGTAGATGTGGGTCTGCTTAGGCCATGAAACCGAGAAGGGGACCAGAAGAAGAGAGAGTTGTTGGGGGAGGGGCACAGAACATGTGGCATGAAGTGGGAGAAGAGACTTCTGGTGGAAGAAAGAGGGTATAGGCTGGGGGCAGTGGGAAAAGATGGGGGAAGGAAGATCAACAAGACAAAACCTATGTGTGAAATACCATAATAAAATCTAAGACTTGGTATACTAATTAAAAAGTAAACATTCTGTAATTAAAAAGGCTGCATACAGAGGAAAGAGCATCCAGAGGCTTTTAAGGAAACATGGAGGGTATGGGAGCTGCTGCTGTAACTACTGTGCCCACAGGCGCCTCTTCACCGCTGGGTTTTTGTTGTTCTTTTTGGAACAGGGTCTTCTCTATGCAGTCCTGGAACTCACGAGAGATCCTAACTTCTCTGCCTCTGAGTGCTAGGACTAAAGGTGTGTGTCATCATGCCCAGATATGAGACAGAATTTTAGGTATTGTTTTCATGTTCACATTTAAATAGTAGGAACTAGGCTATAAGGCAGGGGTTTTGAGCCATGGTCTGACCCAATGCAGGTTGAGACAGGTCTAATCCCAAAACAGATATTTGCAATGTGCTATTTTCACATTTGCAATGGAAAAACTTGGAAACACAAATGTGATTCCAAGGCATTCCTTGGAATGGCTGTTTAAACACATTTCCAACTATAACATGCATTTAGGAGTAAGCATGACAGCAGCTGGATGAGAAACGTTATCTTGTATCCTATTAGGGGTATTCTCTGTACATCCATTAAGAAGTGAAACAAAGCTAATGGTTTTGAGGAGGAATACTTACATGTTTTCTTTCTGTGGCCTTCAGAGATTTGGCAGCATAGTAAAAAAGCTGTGTTCCACACAAGGCTGCCCAGTACTTTGTCCAAGATGCTACCTGAAAAAGATAAACTTGAAAACATCACTGAAAGGCTCTGACTTGACCTTCTTAGTGACACGATTCTATTCTTCACTTCAGCTATTAGAGACAGGTTACAGCATCTCTAAATCTGTATCTCGGATATCACTGTCACTTTCAATGAAGACACTTGAGAAGTCAAGTAATTCCACATCTCATCAAGAATCCTAACTTTTGGGTGCTGAAGAGATGGCTCTGCCAATAAAGTGCTTGCTTGCTGTATGCAAGCATGAGGACCAGAGTTCAGATCCCCAGCACATGGAAAGGCTGTGTTCAGTTGCAAACATCTGTGGGTGGGAGACAGGTAGATTGCTGGCCACCCAGTTTAGCCACTGAGCTCATGGTTTAGTGAGATAAGGGGGAATGGCAGAAGCAGCTTTTTTCTTTGTATCTGATTACTTAGCAGCAGAGTATCATGGGAGGGAACACAGCTTTGCCGACAGGTAAGATTGTGTTTACCAATCTCATAGCACTTTTAAATATTATTTTACTCCACCAAGTCACTGTACTCTTTCTCTATTTTCCCTCTCTTTTTCTTTCTCTTTTATCCTTTTCTTTTGAGACAGGGTTTCTCAGTGTAGCCTTGGCTATCCGGGAACTTGTATAGACAACTACTTCATACCCACTCCTCAAAGTTCTATTATACTAACTCCCATGATGTCATTACATAATTTCTGTTTAAATAGATTTAAATCTGGATTAAAAAATAAAAACTTGTATTTTCAGCACACATTCCATAACTGCCTGTTTATAGACTCACAAAAATCAGCCTTCTTTCTTGCTATCAAAGTTCTGTTAACCCTGAAGCTATCAAAGACAAACTCAACTCCTTTTTTTTTTTTTTTTTTTTTTTTTTTGAGACAGGATTTCTCTGTGTAGCCCTGGGTGTCCTGGAACTTACTCTGTAGACCAGGCTGGGACTAAAGACATGAACCACCACCACTCAGCTATAAATTTAACCCTTTATGCTATGGAAATCCAGTTCCTCTTTCTTAATTTGTGTTTGCAGTGATTCCTCTCTCCACTGCATCTCAATTTCCTCCCTCTTCCACCTAATTACACAGTGAGTCTGGAGAGCTTTCCCTCCTAAGAGTCCCCCTTTGCCCTCTGGACATCATCCAGCTCTTTTGCTCTTTTCACAGCAAGGTTTCTCACTCTTGCCCCTGCTTTTGTTTTTCCTGTTTTCTAGTCAACCTCATTCTTGTGGCTTCCAGGGTTAGCAGCTGTTATTAGGGTTTCTGCTCACTGACATTTACCAGTCTTTCCTTTATCACACCATCCCTTAGCAGTGCTGACACAGGGTGACCCAGTACATGTGTGCTCACACCTCAAAGTCCAGCACTCAGGAAGCAGAGGTAGACGGATCTCTGAGTTAGAGGCCAGACTGGTCTACTGAGGAAGTTCCAGGACAGCCAGGTCTACACAGAGAAACCCCCGTCTTGAAAAATAAACAACAATAACAAAACCCCAAAACAACAAGGGAAGGAGTGGGCACGGACAGCAGCACACCCATAACTCAGGGCTGTGATGCTGTACACATCTCTTTCTGGGGACACTTCCTCACGGTGCTAGCGATGCAGTCTGCCTTTGGAAGCCCATCTGTATGCTAACCTCTCTGCTTTCCTCAGTGGAGCACACTCTCCACAAGGCAGGCACTTAGTTTTGCATGCTTACTGCTAGATTCTAGCACCCAGCAGACAACAGCCCACATGTGACTCTAAAGTCACTCGAGAGCTAGCTTTCTGAATGTGTGTACCTTTGGTTTAATGTGATGTAAAAAGCAAAGTAAGATGACATAAATGGACCACTTTCACATTTTCAGAATCCCTTAGATTTTCAAAAGCTGTAAGTGTAGATATGTGTCAAAGTATACATTTTATTATTCTTATTTTTTTTAATGTTCTTTTAAGACAGGGTTTCACTATGTAACCCAGACTGGAACTTGTACTGTATATATCAGGCTGGCCTCAAACTCAAGAGGTCCGCCTACCTCTGCCTCCATAGTGCTGGGATCAAAGGCACGTGCCACCACTGCCTAGTAAATATATATTTTAAATTAAACTGTACTGTAATTTGAGAAAAGAACAAACTTTTCTTAGTAATCAAACTATTTTGCTGTGAGAAAAACCAAACTTTTTTTGCTATATACTACAAGTTCTGTCCTGTTAGTTTCTTGTTTCTGGCAGGGATATTTGGAGAACATGTAGTACTGGGATTCTGTTTACATGGAAAAATACATTACAAAGTTCAAATAAACTGATGGAACAAAATTATTCTAGTTCTTACGAATTACTCTACTTTCAATTTTTTTAAATAAATGATATGCTTTTTTTTCCTTCTTTTTTTTTTTTTTTTTTTTTTGAGACAAGGTCTCACTGTGTAGACTTAGTTTGGCCTGGAACTTATTATGTAAACTCTATTCCCTGAATAATGGGATTAAAAGTGTATGCCACCATACCCAGCTTATTATTGTTATTCTTAATGTATTTTCAGGGTCCATTAAAAAATAATTTTGGGTAAGAATTACCTTAGAAACCGAAGTTCAGGACTATCTGATTAAGCACATTTAAAATGTGATTTAGCTGCAATCTACATAATAGCTTCAATACTTTAATCAACAGGGTAAGGGAATCTGATGACCTGGAGCAGTGACTCCTTTCCTTTCATTCTTCACTTCCTGTGCACAAATAATTTTTAGACTAAATAAGATTGCCCAAGTCAATGGGGAAAACTACAGTAACCACCAGAGTTAGAATAAAAGCTGCAATGAGGCCCCAGACCTTATTAGGCCTCTGATCTCAGCACAACCAGCTCCGCGATTCAGGCTGTAAAACTCAGCACACAGACTGCACCACCTACCCAAACCAAAACAAAGGCCTAACCCAGCAAACTCCATAGTTCCGGGGAAAGTCTCTACAAGCACTAACCTTGCTCTCTGGCTTCTGTAGTCTCACATCTGGCTAACTACTCTTGTTAAATGAAGTTTGTCAACTTAGGACATGGCTTTTGTGCTTCAAAATGTACTGTGAGAAAGGCCCAGGATCCCAAACACCCAGTGTGGTCACCTAATAAAGCTGATAGACCCATGTCCAAGCAGTCTTCTCTGGGGAATATCCCACGAGGGAAATCAAGTGCACTTCCTGTCTCTGTGTGCTCACCTTCTTGATTCAGAGTGAAGTGCTCCTTGTCCAGGAGAAACCAAAACCAAACCTAATGAGGACAGTGTGTTTTTAGTGACTACAACTCTACTACGGATCTATTTCTTTTCCAATTTTCGTGCTTCTCGGGCCATTAGCATATCTTCAGACCTACATTAGAATAAGAGGAATCTTACTGTGGGTTTTTTGCCTTCTTTTAACAAAGTTTTTCTCCTGAGGACACCTTGAATAGTAACAGCTCCTGGGTACAAGTGCACCGCCAAGTCTTCCGACTCCGCAGAACTGTAACAAGACCAAGCAGAAAGCGGCTAAGCACATGTCTGAAGCAGTCATTAAGAGGGTCCGTAAATGAAACCCCAATATTCTTAACTTTAAAACTTTGACACTTTATTGAGAGCTGGTAAGACACTGAGGATTTTAAAGACTTACTGATTTGAGATTTATAAGTTGTCATAAAGCTAAATGAGGAAGTTACTAAAGTCAGATGATTAAACACACATCCGGTTACATATTTCAACAGATACAACTTAGAAAGAGAGGAGGAATTCATTTAAACCAAGATTAGTTAAAAAAGTTAAGGCTTTTTTTCCCCTTCTTAACATGCTACAGTACATCACTGTGGTAACGCATCAGAAACTCTGACTGCTGGCAAGAGACAAGAATTTTGTTAGAAGTATATAAAACAGAAATGCAACTAACAAGCTCAAAACAAAACAAAACAAACAAAAAACCCTACAAAATCAATCCCAGAAAACTCACACTTAATTTTAAAGTATATAAATAAAAGTAACAGTGTCAACAACATGCTTTTAGAAACTGGCTTTCTGTAGTAAGTGTTAGTGACACTCAAAAGCTACCCGTGCCTACGATCTCTAAACAAAGAACCCCACGCTCAGGATTCCCATTTCATATGTTTTAGTAATCATTGTAATATCGTTCCTCAGTTTATTTTAGAGTCTATATTTAAAAAAGAATGATTTAAATGCCAATCTCTGGTGATGTGTTATGAGATGTAGAATTCTGAATACAGCAAAGAATGCAAGATGTTTAGTCTCTTTATAATTATTTAGGTGTCTTCAAAGTGACAACCTGGAATTTTCATGCTCCAGCTGTTTAAAAGGAGGGGACACACAAGAGGAGACACCATCAAGCTGACAGGGTTTGCTTCTCAAGAGCTGCTCTGTTCTTCTGAGTGATTTCCTGTTATGAGCCCTACCCCCGCATGGATCATCTTTAGGTGCTTCTACAGCTAATACAATGCAGAGGCCCCCCTAAAAAAAATTGTTTAATGAAACAGACTTGTCTAAATTTAGGCTCTATGGTTTATCTGGATAAAAAACTTACTTAAAAAAGACAAATAGAATAAAAACTTACTAGAAAAAGAAATGCTTTGATTGCAACTTAAGAGTAACAAATTGATTTTACACAGCTCAGCCGTAACCAGCATCATTAGACAGCGTGCAGTCAAAGGACTAACAATTTCGTAGCATTTTGAAATGTGACATAAAGATGCAAATTTTAATAATTAGCCCTGTGACTTAGAAAGAATAGTTCAAATTTAAACTAGAATAAATCCTGGAAAGAAAGTTTTCATGGGCAATTTGTTTAGTTTTAAAACCAATTATTTGAGAAAGAAGAGAAAAAAAAAAAGTCAGACAACACCCATATGAGCCAGCCACCAACACCAGAAGGGAGTTCTATGGCCCCTGATGCAGGGGAATTGTACCTGCTGGCCTTCGTGTGGCTTCGATAGCCATTTCGTGGCACTCTTGTCACCGGGCCGAGAGAATGGTATAATCTGTTCCTGTTGGATTCCGTTATAAATTGTATACATTACACATATTTTTATTCATAGAATCATTAACACCTAGAATAGTACACTAGTTTGTAATCTAGCTTTCTATATTAATCCGTAAAAAGGGAAAGATAGGATTCTTTTTTAAAACATGCATCATATTGACTCTAGAAACACAGGTATAAGTATACACTAGACTATACAGCTATACAGCACTCATTCTCACGTCTGTTACAACAACTGCTTATGGAAACTTGAAAATGTTCCACAGCCCCCTTTGCTCTTCTTGGATTCCAGTTTAAATATGACACACAGAATTGTATGAATAATTCATTTTATTATGTCCCTATGAAGACACCTAAAAGCAATGTGGCTTATAAACTTAAAATGAATGAGGAAAATTTCTTATCAAAGAAACTAGAAGAGACAAACTGAGGAGTGCATAGAGGCATTATTTGTTTTTCCTATCAACTGTCAAAGCCAATAAATTCTAAGAATGGTATGAGCCCGTATCTATCCCAAATCATATCATATTTGATACAGGAAATATAAACCCAGAAACAATGGTATTTCTTTGTTTAGTAAAACCAAAGTATGAGATACATGATACTTAATCTAGTAAATAAGGGGAGAAGATAGTGGTTACAATTCAGACAATGATTCAGAGACTGGGGAGATGGCTCATGGAACAACATTTGCTACATGTGCTACATGCTTAGGGCCCTAAGCTTGGTATGGAGCACTTGGTGTGTCTGAATCTTTCTGGACTGCATTTTTTAACTGATTTCAAATTGTTTGAAGAGCTACTGCTTTAACCCTGGCACAGGGTTAAACAAACTGTGCCATACAGGAAGAACACTAGTATGAGGATGAAGGTCAATACATCACAAACTGCCTTCCGAGATAACCTGCTGGGATGCAACACTACACTGGGTTGTGCATTTATAGTTTAAACAACCTAGGAAACAACTGCTAACCAATTCTGTTAATGAGAAATCTTTAAAGAGAAAGTTTCTAACAAGTAGTTTGAAATTAATGATTCAAATATAATTTCAAGTGTTCCTGTTTAAAGTGACTGACCTGGAGTTTTCATATAACTGAAACAATGATGAGGCTCAGTGGGAGGCCCTGGGCTCAACCCCCAGCATTGCAAAACAAGCACTAACTCCCCCACCTCCCCAGTCCACTTGCAGCTTATGAATTCGGATCTTGGTTTATGTCTAACAATGGAGTACTTATTTCTGTCAAGTCAAATGTCTTGAGCCAGATGAGGTGCTGAAGTGGTAACTTAAGAGTTCCAATGGATGTGTGGTAAATACCCATTTGAATAACTTGTCCTTAGTCTCAGGGAGAGTTCTATTTGATGATCAATACGGCACACTATCTCTGCACAGATGACAGGGTTTGTAACTTAAAGCAACAAGGAAAGATAGCATGACCGTACAGTAGGTTAGCGAAAAGCAGTATACAAGCACTGACCTCTTGTGTCAAATGTCAATCTTTACTTGTAATTTAAAATTTTGTCCTTAAGAATGCAAAAGTTAAATAAATGTGTTACCATTAGATTACACAGACCTATGGAAATAATGTCATTTTGGTACACAGAAATTAATTATGGTTATTTAAAATTTTTATTTGACATTTATTATTGCTAAAAAATGTTATAATTTCAAAAATTCAAAACACATGTAAACACCAAATAAACATATATAAAGATCACAATAGCCATTCTCATGTACAATTCCAGAGTTAAATATCTACTTGCCATCTCTTCTGCCAGTAAAAATATAATAGTAATAAGTAACAACAACTTTTTCCAATTCACATTCATATTATTTCCTAAGACAGGCCAAAGGTCAAAGCAATTTTAGTGGCTAATTTCTCTTACCTTTCAAAAGCCGGCCATGAGGTCTCCTCACTTAGTTCAGAGCCATCACTACTCCCTAAAACCAAGAGTTATTCTATTATTGTTCTATCAGTAATTTTTCCAGCTTAGACTTTCTACTTTAAAAAATGAATTTTCTGGTGGTACATGCTAATAACAATCCTAGTATTTAGAAGGTGCAGAGGGGAGGACTTTACGTTCAAAGACAGCCTTGGTCTTCTTGTTCGGAAACCGATATGTGACCATGATAAACAGCTTGATCAGATCTGAACTAGAGTCTCCCAGGGCACGGCACAGTCTGGGCACCACTGCATTTCACAGCACAGAGAAGCTTAGCCCAGCTGACTGTTCTAGAGTACAGGATGGCACCTGACTACGTCAGTTACATCATGTCTTAGTTATGTAGGCAAATAGTAGAAGATTACTGCATCCTTACTTCAAATTAAGGATATACACTTCAGCCATTTTCCTTTCAGGGTTTTTCTTTTTCAGTGCTGGGATTCAAACCCAGAGCCTTGGGCATTTTAGACAAGGGTCTCAGGGGAGTAGAAAAAGTGCCAGCGTGAATTGGGACTGTAAGAGCACATGTGGTTATTCACAAGACATGAAGAAAACCAGCATCAAGAACTCAATGGTGACACCAGATCAAGAAGGGAACAACTCCCTCACCCTGACACCACTCTGATGGCACCGGCTCTAACCGTCCCATCATGGGCAGACACACTGCAGCTCAGCTCTTTTCTTACTGTTGAGATGACTTACTCAGACTGTCTGCTTGTCTTCCCGTCCATCCATCTGAGTTCAGCTGGACTTGGTCCTGCCCTTTGTCCCTGGATTCAACTCTATAGCTCACCCCTATCCTGTAGCCAGCAGATTCCACAGCAGCAGCTGTAGCCCCTCACAGACCTCCTGCGGGCTTGTGACCTCACCCCCACTGATCATCAGCCTTTCTGCCAGCTTCCCAGCCGAGAGTCTCTGCTTCCTTCACCCTTTGTAGCCACTCTGTGTGGTATGTAATATCTGATGTGGAGCTATTTTCCATTAAGACTGGAATAAAAGACCCCGTGTTTGCCTTGGCTAAGGAGATCAAGGAAAGTGGTAATATCTGGCAAACTGCTGCCATAAAATTGCAGTACCTGTGAATCTGTTGTTCAATAAATCCTGACTCTATGGAGATTCACAAACGGTTCATTTACCTATGTTTCTGACAAGACACACTCACACACACAAAAAGTAAAAGCTACAGCTAAACTAGAGAATAATTTTAATACACACAGACGAGATAGCTAAATATATAAATTTGTTTTCTTACATAACATACTAGATTCCATAGGTATAACAAACTTCTAGATGAAAACAGGTTAGATCAAGGCTGACACTACACATGGACTACTTACAATGTCACTAAAGAGGTATTTCCGGGAACACTTGATTTCTGACGTTTAATTAGCAACATTTACATCAGAGGACAGCACCAAAGCAAACAAGTGCTGAGTGGCACTCAAGGTTCAAAAGCAATTCTGTGTTTAGGATTTGTTATTCTCAGGCCAACGGAGCCAGTATGCTCAGATAATGGATCTCTACTGATTTTGACATCGAGATTATAGCAATAATATAGTTTAGCCCTTGAGCAACGTGACAGTCAGAAGACCTTTTTTCTCTTTGTTAAAACCACAACTGAGCATACTATGGATATAGTCTTTAATTATAAAAAGAAATGATCAGATAATAAAACACAGTTTTAAAGATGGGGGCTGGAGAGCAGGCTCAGCAGTTAAGAGCAGAGGACCTGTTTCCTGAACCCATGCTGGGCAGCGCACAAAGGCCTGTAACACCAGTACCAATGGTGTCTGAGGGGGACTTGTACTCACGAACTGACACACACATATACACAGAATTACAGAAAAAGTAAAAACAGGCTGGGAAGGATAGCTCGGGGTTAAATGAAAGTTATACTACTTTTTCGTAAGATCCAAGTTTGGTTCTCAGCACTCATGCCAAGTGGAATCCCAGCTGCAGAAGATCTGACCATCTTCTAGAATCCGCTGGCCATGCACCCACAAAGGCACACACAGGTGGAAGGCGTACACATGCACACACATAGACATGACTTATAAATATCTTTAAACAAGCCAGGCGGTGGTGCCCCATCCCTTTAATCCCAGAACTCAGGAGGCAGAGGCAGGTGGATCTCTGAGTTTGAGGCAAGCCTGGCCTAACAGAGCGAGTTCCAGGACAGCCAGTGCTACAGAGAAACACCATCTTGAAAACTCAAAGGAAAAAAAAATTTAAACAAAGAAGTAAAACAATTAACAGCAGCACATGGAACCTTCTCCAAACTATCATATAGAATACAAATCAAGCCTCACAAACAAACAAAAAATTGGAATTAATTCCTTGTATTGTGTCAGACCACAGTGGAATAACTCAATGGAATAGTAATTATAGAAACCACAAAAATATTTAGAAACTAAAAATACATTTTTGAATGAGTAGTTCAAATAAAAAAAGAAATGCCTAAAGTCAAATGATAATGAGAGCACATGCAGAAGAACCTCTGGGACACATCTGTACAGGTTAAGTGCTCACATTAAAAATCTGAGAGGCAACAAACACAGCCAACCCCGCACACAGTAGATGACAATATATTTAAAGATTAAAGGGGCAGTAAACAAAAATCAACCAAACAGTTGAGAAAAGATAGTGAGATTGACAAACCCTTAGACCTCCTGACAAAAAGAGTTTAAAGACACAAATTAACAAAATTAGAGTTCAAATGGGTCATGATAGAGGGATCCTAACAGAACATTATCAGAGATTACTATGAAGAATTAAACTCTATAAAAAGCTGAAAAACCCAGAATTTCTAAATGTCTATCATATACCAAAATTAATTCAGAAGATATAAACAACTTAAGCAGATTCATCAAAAGCAATGAGATTGAAGCTATAATCAAAAGCTTCCTTCAAATTAAACCTTCTTCGAGACCCCTCTCACCCGTCAGATGGCTGCCACCAAGAAATCTGACAGCGAATGGTGGGGAAGATATAGAGAACACTTATTCTCTGTTGGTGGGGTACAAATTACAGCCATTATGGAAATCAGTTCAGAAATGACCCAGCTACTTCACTCCTGGCATATACCCTGAGAATGCCATGTCCTACCACAGAGGTATCAGCACCCCATGTTTACTGCTGCTTCAGGGAAATGGAACCAACCTAGCTGTCTGTCAACAGAGGAATAGATAATGAAATCTGGCACACAGATACAAAAAGAATATAGTTCTAAAGAAAAATGACCACCAAGTTTTCAGGAGAATGGATGGACCTAGAATGTACTGAGGCCACACAGTATTACAAAGAAAAAACCCTGCAGAGCCGGGCAGTGGTGGCGCACGCCTTTAATCCCAGCACTAGGGAGGCAGAGGCAGGTGGATCTCTGTGAGTTTGAGGTCAGCCTGGTCTACAAGAGCTAGTTCCAGGACAGGCTCCAAAACCACAGAGAAACCCTGTCTCAAAAAAAAAAAACAACAACAAAAAACAAACAAACAAACAAACAAAAAACAACAACAACAACAAAAAAACCCCTGCATGTTCTCCCTATGTGGATCCTAGCCTATAATACATGCATGAACTATGTAAACAAATGTGCAGTGGGCACAGCATACCATGAAGAAAGGGAAACAACACAGGGCAAATATTAGGTGATAGGACCTGGGTGCAGCTGATGTTCACTTAATCCAAAGGTAAGATTTTTGTTTTTAGTTTTAACTCTGCCATGGACTGTTTTTTCTGTCCTCTTCCTCTTCTTTTTTGATGGTGGATAAGGTCATAAAAGTATCAATAGTGGCTAGGTAGTGGTGGCGCACGCCTTTAATCCCAGCACTCAGTAGGAAGAAGCAGGTGTGTCTCTGAGTTTGAGGTCAGCCTGGTCTACAGAGTTCCAGGACAGCTAGGGTCTTATAGAGAAACCCTGTCTCAAAAACCCAACACCAACACACACACACACACACACACACACACACACACACACTCCAGTGTGAGGTTCCACAGCTTGAGGGCTATTCTATTTTAATTGTATATAAAGGAGTTCAATGAGATATAGAGATTTTGGGTCTGGTTAATTTTGCTGTAAGATTTTTTTCCCTCCAGAGACAGGATTTCTCTGTGTAATAGAGCTTGCTTTGTAGACCAGGCTGGCCTTGAATTCACTGAGATCCCAGCACTTGGGATTAAAGGCATGCACCACCACCGTCCAGTTGCAAATTCTTTAAATCATTAAATAAAGTTTAAATCATTAAAAAATTTCAACAATAACAAGAGACTTCCAACCAAACCAATTTACTCTACTCAGGGCTCTCCAGCCATGGTTCTGCTATGTAATGCATGTTAATGCACAGGAACTTAATCCCTACAAATCTTTGGTCAATTTTTCATTCTCATGTTACTGTTTTTTTTCTCCCTTTTTCTTACGAAAAAAAAATTCTTAATGTATAGCTCAAGACTATCCTCAAAATTGTGATCCTCCTGCCTCGACCTCCAAGGTGCTGGGATTACTGGTGTGCTGATTTGCTACAGTCTGGACCTATAATATCCTGTAGAAGTCCCCATTTTAAAGGCACGGTCCCCAGGCGTAGCACTATTGGGAGGTAGTAGGAGGTGTTCAGGTCACTAAGGGGAATGTCCTAGAGAAGACATCCTTTCTCAGTTTCCAACACAAGGTGAATGGTCCTGCCATGTTGCACGCTTCCATCATGAAACCTTACCTTAGGCATCTATGGGAACTTGCATCAGACATGGCTACGTTTAGAATCTCACACTTCAGCGCTGGGGAAACAGCTCAGTGGGTAAAGCACTAGTAGTGCTCGCATGAGGACCGAGTCTGGATGCCCTAGCACTCCTGCCACACAGCAGTGCATGCCTGTAGTCCAGCAAGGGAGAAGTGGTAAGAGGGCCCTGAGGGGTTGTTGGCGGTGCCGGCCAGGTGCAGTGCAGGAGTCTATCTCAAAAATAGGGTAAGGAGTGCTAGGGGAAGAAATCCCATGATAACCTCTGGCCTCCGCACGTGTGGTGTAAGCACACATATACACGAGAATGTCCTTACTTATTTATACTATACCTGGGTGACCTAAACAAGTCTTACAGTTTGAAATACCACAAATATTTAATTTTCATACATTCAATGGCCTGACATTTCTATTAAGACCAAAGAAGTTCAAAACCTAAGTCTTGACTTGCCAAGTTCAGCCACACTTCAATAAATATGTTGCCAGTCAGACAATTCTCTCCCAGTCCTGTGTATGGTAAGATCACCATCAGCTAACGAGCTGATAATTCAAATGACTTTGGAGTCACACTTGACCCCTTCCTTTCTCCCTTTTCCTCACTTTCAGCCAAACTGCATGTGTTAACCAATTAAAGCAGCCTACAGTCTTTTCTCAAAGTTCTCAAATGCCTTCTCATTTGGAGTCAAAACTTGAAAAACAATAACTATTACCATCACCTTACATTTGATTGTGCCTTTGTTTTAAATCATATGTTTTATATTTATGCTAGGGAAGACAGTTACGACACCGGGGTTGTCAAACGGCCTACCCCTTTTCACAGGGGTCACATATGAAATAGATGCATATCAGAAATTTACATTATGATTCATGACAGTAGCAAAATTATAGTTATGAAGTAGCAACAAAATAACTTTATGGCTGGGGGTCATCACACATGAGCAACTGCATTAAAGGGTCACAGCATTAGGGAGATTGAGAACCACTGTGCTAGGGTTAATGAATGTTTTTGTGGTTAAGTTATTTTGGTTTTGCCTGCTTGTTCAAATTCTTTTTTGGCAGCAGTGGGTGGCCCCAGTGAGTGTCTCACCTATGGATATTCCACTGGAAAGCGTGGAGCTCTCAGCTTGGCCTCGTGATGGTGCATGCGGCTCCATGACGCTATCATCCAGCAGGTGTCTTGGACCTGCGTTTGGGAATGTCGCACTCTTAAACTCTGCTGTGTTCATCTTATGAATGAAACTAGGAACAAAGAGAAACACTCTTTACAACTCCTGTTTCTAGCATAGGACATAAAAGATAACCAAGAGTGTTCTGAGTTTGTCTTGAAACAGAACATGCCCACTGGAAATGCATTCCTCCTTCAGCAATCAACAGTGCAAAACTAATGGCACTAAGTGAGAATCGGGGTTTCCCCTTGTATTTAGGACTAAAGAGAGTAGTTCTTATAATTTAGTTTATTATTTGTATTTGTCACGACAATTGATAGCTCTGATAACAAGGCTACAATTTTAAAAGGAAACTTTCAGCATAGCTCTCTGGATTTATTACTGTGGCTCTCGGAGCTCCTGATTGTTCTTCTTCTGATACACTCATTTCCAAATGTAGGTAAAAGAAAACTCTTTTTAGGCAAACAAGATAGATTTTTTTCTGAACCTGAAGACCAATCACACAGGCACCTAATTTCTACTTAACTAATTAAGTAAACAGAATATAGAAACATATTTTACTAACAAAGAAATCAAAAGCAAATCCATCTGCAAACAACTTAAAAACAATGGAAAGACAAAATTGAAAGTGCTGACTTGTAACCCAAGCTATGGCACTTCCTATGTCCGTGTGGAATAAGGTTCCGAGGGGATGGGGGCGTCTGTGGCAGGAAGGCCCCCTCGGCAGCACTGCTCTTCCTCCCGCTCTGTGGAGAGGCTCCCACTTCAGGACCTAGAGAGGAGAGGACAGAGGGAAACTGTCACCAGGTTTCAAGGGCCTGGTCTACAAAGTGAGTTCCAGAACAGCCAGAGCTGTTAACACACAGAAACTGTGTCTAGAAAAACCAACCAACCAACCAACCAACCAAACAAACAAACAAAAAAAAACCAAAAATAAAAAACCAAACCAAACCTCTCTGATATCAAAGTGTGTATTGTTAGTTTTATTTAATTCACTTGAAGACATATGTATTTTCCAAATTCTAAAATAAACCTCCAACCATACAAAAATCTACTAATTTTTATCTCTCTTAAATATGTTAAACAGAGGCGGTATAAACATTTCCCTAATTTATCAAAAAGGAAAGAGATCAGTTTGGGCTCTTAATTCACAGACAAAAATCTAGACATAGTACTTAGGTCTTCTGACTCAGTTTCAGTATGATGCCCTGCTTGTTTACACACGGCTTTGGGTTTCTCTGAATGAAATGTGTAGGCTAGGTCAAGGGCTCAGGGTAGAAATGATTACCTCACTGCCTGACACTTGAACTGATTTATGGGAATAAAAAAAAAAACAGCTCATAATGTGTAGCTTTCAAAACAACTCTCTAACAAAAATCTGCTGGCCCTACCCCCTTAATCTCAGCAGTCAAGGGACAGAGGTAGGTAGATTTCTGTGAACACCAGCCCAGCTAGAGCTACACAGTGAATAAAACCATGTCAAAAACAAAACAAAACAAAAAACAGACAAAACCCACAAAACACAAACAAACTCTGCATGGTGGTGAGCACCTATTACCCGACACTGGGGAGGCTGAGGCCTGAGGATGGGGAGTTAAAGGCCAGCACAAGCTACTCAGCAGGATCCTGTCTTAAGGAACAAACAGGAGAAAAGCACGTTTAAGAGAATCAGACAGAGCATCTTCTGCTTGGAGCGTGCTTTTTCTGGACAGTGTCATGCAGCTCATTTCCTCCCCTGATGAACCAGGACTTCAGATTTTTAGGTATGCACTAGAAACCTTAGTTTAAAGGTCTATGTTGGTAATTTTTAAAAGGCACTTATCAGTTATTTTTTAATGATTAATTTCTTATATTTTAGTGTTTCTGATGTGATTTATATACATTAAAAACCAGTTGTAAATCTATGGATAAAGAAGTATGGTGTTTGTATTTGTAACATGTGGCCCATCACTGAAAGCCAAAGTCACTAAATTTGAATTCTATAATCATTTAAATTAGAATTTTTGTTCTGACCATAGAAATATCTTCATTGCCTAATATTAAATTGTATTCTTAATAATTAAGATAATATTCACAAACCTATTGTTAATATCATATGTATTTTCCTCAACTAGGAAACATTTATTTATACATTATTGACAATCAACAAATAATTTTTTAATTAAAAACCAAAATAAAACAGAAATCCAGACAGCACTGATATACTTTAATACCCAAAATGATTTTTTGTAAGCAGTATAAGATATGCTAAGTATTCACTCACTTTGAAATATAATTCTTTCTTATGAGATCAGGTTATCTGGTACACTGTTTGATAATGAAACCCACATTGAAAAAAAAAAAAACCCTCCCCAAGGAAACCATGCACCAACCAACAGCTATGGACTAACCTACTAGGTCTTCTCTGGAAGCAGCTGAACGTGGCGTACTTGTCCCTGGTTCTATCTTTAATGAGAGCCTAAATTTTAAAAGAGCAAAATGTAAGAAACAATGAACACTGACAAAATATCAAAGTCATGCTTTTTTATAAAAAATCCAATAGGGAGTTGGAGAGATGACTCAGTGATTGAGAGCACCAGAGAGTCCTCCAGAGGACCCAGGTTCAATTCTCAGCCCCACAGGGTAGCTCAGAACCATTGTAATTCCAGTTTCAGATGATATGATGCCCTGCCCTCTTCCGACCCACACAGGCACCAGGCAGGCAAAATACTCAGACATAAAAACAAAAATAAATACACACACACACACACACACACACACACACACACACACACGGCTCTTTAGTTACCACACAAAGGTACTAAACATTTCACCACAGCTAAAGACATTTACTAAATTACTAAAAGATGATTTTAATTACACTGGACATGGTAGCCAGCCTGGGCTACATAACAAAATCTAGGCCAGTCTGGGTTACAGTTTTGAGATCCTGCCTCACACAAACCAACCAAGAAGCAAAAATAGATTTAGATTTGTACTGACATACACTTAATGAAATGACAATCAAGTCCAGGAATGTACTCATGTATTTAACATATAATTTATTTCTAGACTGATGTAGGTGGGTCTTCTTTCTATGTGTTGCTTTCATTGGTTAATTAATAAAGAAACTGCTTGACCTGATAGGTCAGAACATAGGTGGGTGGAGTAGACAGAACAGAATGCTGGGAAGAAGGGAAGTGAGTCAGACCCCATAGCTCTCCTCTCCGAGATGGACGCAGGTTAGAATCTTCCTGTTAAGCCACCACCTTGTGGTGCTACACACATTAATAGAAATGGGTTAATCAATATATGAGAGTTAGCCAAGAAGAGGCTAGATATAATGGGCCAGGCAGTGTTTAAATGAATACAATTTGTGTGTTGTTATTTCCGGGGCTAAGCTAGTGTGGGAGTCGGGTGGGACACGAAAAGCAGGCCTGCTTGCCTCATCACTACACTAGACTCTCGACTAGATGAACTATTGGCTTGACTTTAATACTGAAAACTTTAAGACCTTTTTACAGAACTACCCAACAAATCAAACGACCCAGCTTATGAAATGAAAGGTCTACAGAAATACCAAGACTGCTCCCAAAATGGCTTCTCAATCCTTGTCTTACAGGCGTGTGCAGCTATTTTTCACACCATGACACCATCTACAAAATTCACAACTGCACAGCCAAGCTAAAAACAAAACCCAGAGAGACATAAACTAACCAATCTCACAGTACTTTAAAATAAGTGCAGGATTTTGTGCTGGGTGGCTCTCACTCACTGCTCTCCTGGTCATCCGGGGCTGTATGAGGGTTGCTGGGGGGTGGTTAATGCTGGGAATTTCTTGTTACTTGTTCCATTTAAGTACCCAGTTTTGAGTTCCACAGAAATATATTTTGATTTTTATTAGTGAAAGCAATCCTGGGAAATAATACTGAAGCAGTTAATCGTAGAAAATGTTTTGGTGTAATTGTGAAGCCTTGTATTAATAAGTTGTCTGAATGAACAGAAAATTTGTGTTATATGATTTTTTTATATATGTAATAGATAAATGTATATAGATAAAATTTTGTTTAGTATGAATTTGATTTGAGAAAAGGAAAAAAAGTATCTCTGGTGCTTAGGAGGATAGAGACAAGGTGGAGCAGAGATGCCTGGCAGGGATTTGTGACAAGCAGAACCAGCAGGTATTTCCTGCAGAGGGAACAGTGTACCTCTAGAATGAAGAAAACTTAAAGGGATTAGGTAGAGCAAAGTCCAGGAAGAAACCTGGGACATGTTTACACATAGAGAGTAGGAGGAGAAAGTGAAAGCACAGTGTCGAAGAGAGAGAAGGAACAAAAGCCCTGAAAATGGGACCAACAGAGGAAAGAGCACTCCGCTAGTCAAGAGATGATCACCATCATAAGAAATCAGCAAAAATAAGTACTGTCAGGATTATTGCCACCCTTGGATAAAAGCACAGTTGTTATGAGATGGTTTTCTAGTTACACGGAATGATGGGCATTAAGCATGTAGCACAATTAGGCATGAGAAAATCTTATGTCCCAATGCGTGGGCTCTTGTACAGAATCAGTAGGCACTACTGAACATTACTTCCAGCTCTGCATCTGAATAAGATGCAGCCCCAGTTTCCACAAGAAGAGTTTGTTGAGAGAGAGCTGGTGATATAAACAGACCCGTGCCATTTTGTGGTAGGAGTTCTAGAGGGAAGACGCACACACCCTGGGAAGAGGCACCAGCAGAGAAGCCTGAGTACCCTATGACTCCTTTGACACACAAGAAAAGGTTATTGGTGTATATTACATTTTATTCCTAGGCTTATTAAACTGGTAAGTCAGTTCATGAAGTACTGAATATGTGTAAAAGTTATTTTCTTCCACCAAAACCTGCAGGGACAGGCTTTGGGAATGGCCAGGGTCTGTCTTACGTCTTTTCTCGGTGTTTAGACCTCTTACTTTTTTGGCCACCAGGATAGAAATCCTGGTGGAAATCAGAATGACTCTGAACAATGAGTGGTTTTGGTATCCTAAATGGGACTTGAACTGTAGACCCAATTTATATATTATGAAGACATAAATTATTTGTAATATGGCACAACCAGAATTGGAGCAAATCCTATCCAGTAATGTTTTTATTTATTTGTTTTGTTTTGTTTTAGTTTTGCTGCTTGTCATTCAAGCAATGGGTCATTTCACAATTGGCTGAATCTAAGCTTTTTGTTTATTAAATCTTGCTATTCAAAAACAACAACAACAAAAAGAAAATTCATTAAGTTGTCTTTTGTTCTATTTTGGTGGCACTGGGGGCTTAATCAAGGACCTTATAAACAGAGGCGAATGTGCTACCTGACTTGGAAGTTTCAATGAAATCACATATCACTTCCTTCATCGCCTAAGAAAATAAAACACTATATTCCAGTTACTTGACAGTGCAGACAAACGGCTCAGCAGACTGCACTCCCTGCACACCCTCTGTTGGGCACACTGTCTACCTTTCCTAGCACCGAATGGGAGCTGGCTAACTACATCCCAATGCTACCTATGGCATCTAACAGTAGTAGAGAAAGCACTGCAGGGATCAGCTATTATTCCAAGTGTTGGGGTCTACACAGTAGGTTCCAGGACAGCCAGAGCTACATAGAGGGACTGTGTCTCAACACACAAAACAATTAGCTTTAATAAAAACTCCAACACAAGTTTGCTATAGTTAGTAAAAACTAACAATTCTCTATAATTGTATAGGTTTTTCTTAGACTGTTCTATATAATACTCTTTATGTCAGTAAGTTTCTTGTCCTAGGGAGGGATTTTAATAGATACTTGTATTGAGATTTTAGCACAAAGATAACTGTTCATATTTCCCTGGACAAAATGTGTTTGTCATGTGTAAATTCTGTATTTATACTAGAGTAACTAGAGGCACAGGAAAAAGAGCTAAATAGTAAGACACAGACCATCAAACTTAAGACACAGCATGGTGTAAGAGGTCTGTGAAACTCCAGCCTTAAAAAGCTAATAGTACCCTCATATTAGGTTTAAATGGGTCATTATATATAAACAAAATTTATTTTGTGTAAAAGCTGAGAGAGAAATTAAAATGATATGATATGGGGAAGAAAATGATAATAAAGGGATTTTCAAACAACACAATTTTAGATGTATAAAAGTATTTTCAGAGCTTAATAAATTTAATATCAGAAGAAAATAATTTTTAACTTTCCAGAATTTCTAGTTTTTCAATGGGACTAATTCTATACCACAGAATTAAGACTGCTGAAATCTGTAAGTACAAAGTAGATCATAATTAGTCAAAGGGGATAAGAAAAACTATAGCATTAATACTGGAAAAAAACTCACTGAATTCTATTTTGGCATGTTTTAAAAACATGCCTTTATATTTTTTTTTACTCCTTCATTTATTCATTCTTGTGTGCACAGGAGCCATAATACAAGCAAGAAGGACAGAGGATGACTTCCCTGCATGTTCTATAATAGTTTCCTCTGAGGTTGAAACATTCCATCCTTCTGGGAAGCTCCTTAAGTAGGAAGGTAAACAGTTCCAAACAGTTTCAGGGACTTCCTGAAACTGACCAGACTCTCTAGAGCCTCCTTCCCAGGATGCACACAAGTCAAACTGCTGAGACTCACTCCAGACAAGATGACTTGTAAAGAGTGAGACCAGGCCAGCACCCGGAAGAAACAGAGGCCGGCAAAGCTGCCTGTAGAGTCGCTGAGGGCACTCTCCAACCTGAAGAGCCGCCTGCAGGCCGTGCAGTGCGCTCCAGGTTTCCAGCCTTGTTTCTACCCATGCTTAGTGGGCTTTGGTGATACAGCTTTCTTTGAGTCATTTCCACTCCTGTAAGTAACTCCAATAAAACTCATTGATTTACCAAGTTGGATTTTGGTGGTATCCATACTTGAGTTTGTAGTAGGTTCCCTATCAGGGGTGAGTAGACCTGTGTGTGTTGAGTCTGCCTGGGGAAAAACTTTATCAAACAGAGAGTCAATTTTCTCCTCCTACCATGTTGTTAGGCTTGGAAGCAAACCCCCTTACTAACTGAGCCATCTTGTCAGCTCAAACAGGCCCTTTAATTGGGGGCTGGGGGAGGGCTGAAGACACAAAGGTCAGTTTTAAAGCTTGGCAATAAACAATGCCCCTGTGAGGTGGTATCCACCTGAAGGTCCAGTCCTCAATGGTCTGAGACAGAACTGCTTGAGCACAACAATATGGGACACCTTGGGCAATACAGGGAAAACCAGACATAATGAAGAAAGCAAAGGAAAAAATGAACAAATGAAACCAACAGAAAAACAAAAAAGCATAGCCTCTCTACCCCAGCAGTTGTGATGTGAAGTAAGGCCACAAGGAACCAGAAACGCTACGGCTTAAGGGTCCTTACTAAAGGACTGTATGATTTATTAAATGGTACCATAACTCAGGGAAAGGAAGTCTTAAACAGTCTCTCAAACCACTTTCAAAGATGTGTCTAAAAATAATCATTTAAGAAGGAACAATTTTTGTATTTTGTGAATGGCATAATTTTTTTCCTGCTTAGAGAAATATTCTTAAATGAGTCTGAGTATACAAGGAAAAGGAAAAAAAAAACCCTCAGATTTGAATTAAATGTGTTGTTGTTTACAACTTAAGAATGTTAAAATGTATTTTTAAATTACTGTATTTAGTTTTTGAGGGAGGATAACTTGTGTGAATTGGTTCTATCCTTCTCATGTGGGGCCCTGGTATCAAGCTCTGCCTGTCAGGGCTGCCTTCAGTTTCTTTCCCTACAGAGCATCTGCTGGCTTAAAAGCTAGACTATTTTTAAATAAAGAAAAGCGGGAGCATTTGCATACTGGCTCACCCATACCACGTGATTGAAAGAAACACATGTAACTACCCTTCCCACTGTGCTCCATACCTAGACGGCTAAACGCATCGGAAGAAAGGGTGAAGGCTCAAAGTGGAGAACCAGACAAAGCATCACCCAAACCTGAAGATGGACCTACTTGTAATTATCGTCTTCCACAAACTTTTGTAGTTCTTCTATATACTGAACGGAATTCAGGTATTTCTGGACATGAGGCAACATGGGAATATCTAGGCAAAAGATGACAGATGATTATTTAGTAAAATACATAGTAACTAGAAACTTAAGAAAAGAAATATAACTGAACGTAACTGAGCCACATGGTACCAAACCTGAAATGAACTCTAAAAGACATTCTTTTCACTCACCATAGTCACAGGACTGTTGTAGGTCAGAAATTATTCGAAGAATATTATTCATCAAATTTGACCTTTGCTCATTTTCTAGAATGCTGCCCGTGGATGGGTACGCCGAGTCGATGTACGTCAAGTCCGACAGGTAGATGCCTGGAACAGACCCAACAAAGAGCCCTCACTTGCAGTCTCAGTGATGTGAAGAGGGAAGAAGACTCAATTCACAGATGTTCTCTAGCATGTCATATTAGAATATATTAATATAATAACATGATTTCTTGGGGTTGAGACTTCTAGAGCTGGGGTCAAGCCATACAAACCTAAGTTCCTTGTAAAGACTCCTTATGTTGTTTTCCAAGCATAGATTAGGCTGCAATCAAAAATCCAGCACACACAAAAGGATAAAGAGACTGAGCTCTTGAAGTGGCAAGAGATGGTCATTTTATCTCTGAATCTCAGTAATTACATGCATTCAACCATTACCAGTTCTCAGTTTTTATTTTATCTAATGAAACTTCCCCAAGTCAATACAGCCAATGCCTTCCATGGGGAAGTTAATGCTTTCTCATACCCTCGTTTAGAGCTGACAGTCTCAGCTATGAAGAGAGTTTCAATCGTGTAGATGCAGGTATATTATTTATTTTAAAGATCAGCAACTGAGTTTCTGAAATCATTTTTATGACCACAAACTGAAGTTAATTTCCTAGCCATCTTCATGTTTTCTGGTATCAGTGAGAATGACATATCTTTTGGTCATATCAGTACTGAACATAGGCAGTTATTATTAATTATTAATATTCAAAATATTAATATTCAAAAATATTTCTCAAGAGTTCACTACACACAGAGAAAATACAAAAGAAAACTGTCACTGAAGAGAAGCATATCCATTTCCCTACTTTTGCCTTCGTGATTCATGAACTGTCAGGACTTGGGCCCATGCCTTCTAAACAAGTACCCAGTTTTCCTGTTGGCCACTCTCTTCCACTACTTGTAGATACAGGTCCGTGAAATCAAATCCTTTACCTTTTAAGTCTAGCTCAGTGTCAGTTATTCCCTAGTTTCCATATAAATTCCTGAAAGAAATTTAGAAACTATTTAGTATGTTTTCACAGAGAAGAACCTGAAATCTACAGCTCTGAGAAGACGGGTCCACCACTCTGGGACTTGCTGGGGACAGCGCGTCCTTACGAGCTGCCCTCGGACCTTTACCGTGCCCTATGATAAGCTGATGTTATTCATAACCATTAACTTAAAAACATTCCAGCTGCTTTGAATTTGCTCATATCACATTTATTCAGGACTATAAATTCATTTGTTCTCTGTGATGACACTAGACAAGAGGTGGCGCCCAGCACAGCGCAGAGGCCTGGCTAGCTTGCTGCCTCTCCCAGTACACGCTCTTCTTCCTCTCACAACCTCCCTGCCACACTGGTTTTTTTTTACAGTATTCTTCAAGTTATTTAAACATTTTTTCATGAAGTGTTCAAATGAAAACCTATTCAGAAGTTTTAAGTCCTATGCTTTCTTATCTTTAAAAATACTTTTAGAACATAAACTTGAATAGCTGACATTACCACTATGACCACCAAATTAATCACAGACTAGAAGTCAACTCTATCAAAGTCCTAAATAGATTATTTAATGTGAAAAAGAGAAAACTCTAATACACTATTATAGTTGATATATTTGGGAGAAAATTATAATGTAAAATTGGAATGCAAAATTTCACTTTACATCCAGACAGTAATTTTACTGACCGACCGAGCTGTACTTAAGCGTCTAATAGGAACATCATATAAAATTTAAGTTTAACTGAATGAAGCTATAATAATTTTCCTAAACTTGACAACCAAATATCATACATGAATTAAATAAATGAACATTGTTCACAACATGAAACCAATCTGCTTTCATTCAGTAGCGTCTCTGTAAATGTGGCAGTTATAAATTATTAAAGTTCCAAAATAAAAGGTTATAAACTAGCTGAGAATTATGTAATTATGGATTGACTAGACAGCTTTTCTCTATTACATCTGCATCACTTCTAAAATATAGAAGTATATTACTAAAATAACATTTTTCAGACTTTTTATTTTTTGTTTTCAAGAATGGTTTTCTATGTCTAGCCCTAGCAGTCCTGGAACTTAGACCAGGCTGGACTCGAACACACAGAAATCCATCTGCCTCTCCTTCCTGAATGCGGGGATCAAAGCTGTGTGCTACCACTGCCTGGCTAGATTTTTATAACCAAATATTTAACAATATGAAACATTAGCAAAAACATTAGTTCTACAGACTTGGTCTACATTTCCAAAGACTGACAGTTGATAACTGTAAAGAGTTTGTATCATAAAAATTAGAAGATGTTTTTCTCTTTGCAATAATGCCTCAGGGTCCTCTTATGTGAAGAGTGGCTGGAGTTTATAAACAGGCTGCATCCTGTCTAAAATGCAGGTTTTTAGGTTTGAAGATGGAGTAAGCACATGTATTTTTATGGTATCTGCCAATGGTATTGCTGGTTTTTACGTGGCTATTGCTTTGATAATAGGAGCGAGGGAAACACTGCTGCAAGAACCCAGCTCTAGCAGCTCCTGTCTAAATTCCTGAAGTCATCAGAAACATCAACAAAACAAGCAAAAACCAAACCAAACCAAACTACAAATAATTCACCCCAACAGAACCACAGTATCTGGAATCAGAGGGTTCATTCTGCCATCCCAGCCTAAATCAGGGTAATTTTCAGTTCACTGTTTTTTTTGTTTTGTTTTGTTTTGTTTTGTTTTTCGAGGCAGGGTTTCTCCGTAGCTTTTTGGTTCCTGTCCTGGAACTAGCTCTTGTAGACCAGGCTGGCCTCGAACTCACAGAGATCCACCTGCCTCTGCCTCCTGAGTGCTGCGATTAAAGGCGTGCGCAACCACCGCCCGGCTTCAGTTCACTGTTACTGTTCTGAATTATCTTGTAACTGCTCAGGTAGATCAGGAAAGGTTTAACAGTGGATATTTACACTTACAACTTCCACAACATCACCTCTGACCACTTACTGAAACTGAAGGATTGGAACTGCCCCAAATTTAAACACCAACTGTAAAAACAAGCAAAACACACACACACACACACACACACACACACACACTGCCTTTCTAGTCTATCAGTTTGTAATACACAAGGCTAGTAATTTAACTTCTCCGGAAAGAAACAGTTTACGGTACACCTACTTAAGTATTATGTTAAGTACCATGAACTGGAAGCAGTAGTCACATGTGGGCACTGAGAGCATCTACATGCTGCTGACGTTCTCACTGAGCTGTAGGGAGCTGAGCTACCCTGCAATCTTACCAACAATGACGCCAGAGGGCTACCAACTTCACAATTTATATTCAGAATGGTAGAGACGTGGTTTCTTTCTTAGGCCCTTGAGAGACTAGAAATTCCCTATTCAGAGATTTTAAAAAATGAGATAGACAGCATTTATAATTAGTAACTGGCCAAAACCGCTTCAGTTTTCTTGGAATTCCTATAGTATGAGTAAAACAAGGGCCAATAAGACCGTTACTTGAAGACTGGGCTTCTTCCCCACTTTCTGCTGGGGTCATGGGACATGCTTTCTGGCACCACCCGATAAAGCAGGGCCCACCTACACTCTCCCTCATCCTTCTGTAACACAATGATTAAGGTTCTACTTTTTTTTTTTTTTTTTTTTTTTTAGCATTTCAATTGTGTTTTAATAAATAAAGACTGCCTGAAGATCTGAGAGTAAAACAGTCCCACTGGTCAGCCTTATAGACCAGGTTATGGTAACACACAACTTTAATCCCAGGAGTCACACTAGTTGCAATAGAAATTGGGTGGTGCATGCCTTTAATCCCAGTGGTGTATGCCTTTAACCTCAGACCTAAAAAGAAATATAAGATGGGGGAGAGAGGAAAACAGCTCTCAGACACAGTCTCATTCTGAGATTTTTGGCAGGCAGAATTGTCATTTCAGATTGAGTTTGAGGTAAGAGCCAGTGGCTGGATGTTTTGCTTTTCGGATCTTGAGGTTGAACCCAATTTCTTCTTTTTTTTTTTTTAAATATTTATTTATTTATTATGTATACAATATTCTGTCTGTGTGTATGTCTGCAGGCCAGAAGGGGGCACCACACCTCATTACAGATGGTTGTGAGCCATCCTGTGGTTGCTGGGAATTGAACTCAAGACCTTTGGAAGAGCAGGCAATGCTGTTAACCACTGAGCCATCTCTCCAGACCCCTGAACCCAATTTCTGACTCTAAACTTTTATTAATTGTGCTTCACATATCCTTCAGTCTTGCCCACAGTTCTATCTTATGGAAGCATTTCCTTCCTCTCAAATGACTTTATTTTGTGTTGACATAAAATTATCCAGCACACTGGACATTAAAAAAAGAAAGTTTTTGGAGGGCTGGAGAGATGGCTCAGAGGGTAAGAGCATTGCCTGCTCTTCCAAAGGTCCTGAGTTCAATTCCCAGCAACCATATGGTGGCTCACAACCATCTGTAATGAAGTCTGGGGCCCTCTTCTGGCCTGCAGACATACACACAGACAGAATATTGTATACATAATAAATAAATAAATAAATATTTAAAAAAAAAAAAAGAAAGTTTTGCGCTATCCTTATTATATAGCTATATAATTCCAGTACCCAGGAGGGAAAGGCGGGGGTACTACTCAGCGGTAAAAAATAATGACATTTTGAATTTTGCATGCAAATGGATAGAAACAGAAAACACTATCCTGAGTGAGATAACCCAAACTCAAAAAGATGAATATGGTATGTACTCACTCATTAGTGGACTCTAGCCATAAACAAAGGACATTAAGCCTTAGTTTGCAAGCCTAGAGAAGCCAAATAACAAGGTGAACCCAAAGAAAAGCTTATATAGATCCTCCTGGAAATTGGAAGCAAACAAGATTGCCGGGCAAAAGTTGGGAGCATGGGGGTGGGGGTAGGAGAGGGGTTGGGGAAGGGGAGAGGAGGAGAGAGAAGGGAGAAAGGAAAGACTGGCAAGAGCTTGGGGGAGTGGGAGGGTGGAGATGGAGGAAGGGTGGATATAGGAGCAGGGAAGAAGGTATCTACATTAAGGGAGCCATTTTATGGTTGGCAAGAGACTTGGCTCTAGAGGGGATCCC